TGCCTCAGCATGTTCCGATCCCCATATTGGTCATGGGAGCTAAACAAGACCTAGCTGGACGACCCAGAGGTTATTACTCAGATGTGTAATGCTTTACAGCAATATTTTGCTGAGAGTGACTCCCTTCTCATGCTAAGAGAAGCACACAGATGTTTTATCAGAGGTCAGTTTATTAAATTGGGGATTGAATAAAAAAATAAAAAATAAAAACCCCGCCAAATTCAAGTGACAGACGTTGCTAAGAAAATATGAGACCTGGAGTTGTTGCACAATCAATTGCAAATTAAAGCTTCATCCAGGGAACTCTTGGAAGCTTGTAGATAGTTGACTCAACTACTCATGCACAGGTTTCATTGCACCCTGCAACGTTCTGGAGGAGTAATAGCATAAATGCTTAGGGAGAAGCGGAAAATGATACAAATTCACTGCATAAAACAGGCTTCGGTTAGATCAACTCCCTTCCCCTTCCTGGAATCAATTGTAGCAGAGTTAAACACATATTATTCCACTCTCTATAACATACATAGGAGTGCTCCTGAAGCCAAACACCTTGACCGAATTAAGAACTACTTCTGAGATAAAGTCTCAGAAACACTACACATGGACATGGTGGAAACCCTAGAGGAGATAGCAGCTCCAGTCAAAGCAGCGAAAAATTGTAAGGCTCCTGACGGGTTCACACTCTTGTGCTACAAAAAATTCCAGAATCTCTTACTGCCCCAAATCATAGTAGCCATGATCTCCATTGTGGAGGGATGAGCTTTTCACCCAGATTCTCTTTTGGCCCATGTTACCATACTGCCCAAAGAGGGTAAAAATCTTGAATTATGTGCCAGCTAGAGATGCATCTTCCTACTGAATTTAGATGTTAAACTATTTGCTAAGGCACTCGCCACCCAAATTCAACCACACTTGTCTGGTTTGATCCACTCGGTTGGTTAGCCGAAATTGAAGCATCAGAGGCCATGAGGGAATCTCTACAGGGCTTATCTGTAAAACACTGCAGACTTTGGTTCCCATGGTTATACTATATTTATAAAAAACCAAGGGAAGAAGTGGCACCTTGCCAATGAACACCATAGGGAAAAGAAAATAACAATAGCCAAGTGTTAATTCACACAGGAGTAAGCCAGATAGGTGTTCCAGACACTTTACCCATTCCTACCTAACACCTCCCTTTCCACCTACACTTACTCAATGCGCTCTTCACCCACCCTTTGTTTTCCCTTTTTCTTCTATAATTAGCATATACTCATACCATGAAGATAAACCCAATGCAGAGTGAGAAAAACAGCTAAAACATAGTAGTCTTATATGAATAAAGATAGGGCACCTTGGAAGTAGCTTTCTGTGGTGGTATACCCACAAGTAGCTAAGTTACTACCACGTAGGTTGTCCTTTCCCTTAGCGTAAAAGATTCAGAGTGATTAAGCTCTCATGCAGAATGAACCTGTCAGGGCTTACCTTAGTTGGGAGTCAGGTATGCAAAGATATATGCTCACCCTTGCGAATAAACACAGACCAAGGTGACCGGATAAGTAACCACCTGGCCTGTGAGTCTGTGCACGGGGATTTCGCAGGATATTGCTCCAAGTCACACTACAGGCAAGGACACAATCGGGAGAATTGTCGAGGATAAGCCAAAAGTCAGAGGGTGCCAGAAGTCAGGATAAACAAGGGTAAGTCAAAGTCAGAGGATGCCAGAGGTCAGGACACACAATAAAAATAAGCCAAGGTCAGGAGCCGACTGGAGAACACTGGATCACGAACAGAAACCAGAGTCAATGAACTGACACTGCCCTCAGGGAGAGGCAGCGTCTTACACCAGGCTAATTGGGCATCAGCTTCAGGTGGACTGAGAGCGATAGGAGCAGCCCCAGGTAAAATCCACCCCCCTAGTGCTGCAGACAAGGCAGGATAGGACATCAGGCAAAAACATGAACTGAATTGTGGCTCAGAGACAAAACAGCAGGACTAAGGCAGCAAGAGTCCAGAATTCAAATGCCTTTTTGGTGCCTGTGGAACGGCCACGACTGGCTGTCTGAATGGCATGGTGCCAGTCGTGAAAGTATCGCTGTCTCACCCAAGCACTAGCTAAGACTTAGTGAAGGGTGAAGATGAACTGATTTTTTGAGCAAAGCACAAGAATTTATACCCAGACTCCCAGCATGGGGTCTCTATTCATTGTAACACAAGCCTGCCAGAGGCGCCTGTGTGTCTGGGAGATAATTGAGTCGGCTCTCTTTTAAACTAATAATCTCCTGGGCACAAGAAGTGCAATACAAAAAACACTCTAATACATATACAATATAACCGAGCCCCCCTACATATAATATATACCTGCAAATGTCTTTATGGAGCACCCATTCTGTTCAAAAAGCACCGGGATTGCATGTGTCTAACCCAAATTAGATGGAAGTCCAAAGTGCAGTGGGACGCGGCCAGCCTCTGATCTGGCACGGAGTTCTACAATGCTTGGTAGAGTTCCCCGGTCACCGAAAAACACTGTGGGTACATGGAGCTCCCCCAAGTCCAGGGTGTCATTTGATGCCTTGCCATCCCCTCTGTTAACTCTCCAAAAAGTGCCCTTAATGATGATCCTGAGGCCGAGAGGACTCTGGTTAAAAAAAAATTCTGTGTTGTTCAGCTTCTGGGCACGCCAGTGAGAACGTGTCCATAGAGCATAGGATGAGCATGTTAAATTCACTTGCACCATATGATACATTTCTAGGCCATTCCCACCCATACAAGAGCTTGTGAGCAGCATTCTACATATGGGCAATTCTTATTAGCTGCCCTGAACGGCTTCCTATCAACTTGATCAACAAATGACTCCTCACAATTTTGCCAAGTATGCCATTGGTTCATTTAAAATCATTTCCTTTGGAAATTTAAAAAAAATTAATGCTGTGGGTGTCTATGTATCTTACAATCTATGTATTAACACGCGACATGTACAGCATAAAATGTTAACATTTACAGGATGATAGAAGCATGTACAATTTCCAGCCCAAGCTGAAAAAGTAAAAATAAACCATGTTTGTGGGGGGAATCAACAATGAACATTCTATTTCATTTTCTTTGCATCCAAAATGAAGATTGTAAAAATAATTGCATTACTGTGTTAAATAGCGAATAAGAATTTGCACAATAACGATCGCTAACACAAACGTTTGGAAATGGTTTTAAATTGTGAATATATGAGAGCATTTATGAAATGTACTGTTTAAGCAGAAATAGGTACTGCTGAATGTATAAATAGTTACCTGTTAGTGTATTTTTTAACACTGTACTGATGATACATGCCTCACAATGTGTAGATGCTGTACAGTACTATAGTTTGCATTTTTCCCTTTGCTAGACTGACTCTTTCCACTAGAGGGTACTGTGCACATAATTTTGCAGTTTATTGTGGACGCATATAAAAAGACAAAGTCAATTTGTGGTGCACTGAACTTGTTCTATGTTGTTTTCTATCTAATATATGCAAAGGTATATAACTGATTTTCTATGTAGAAACCGGTTTCTTAAAGACAGCTACTAAAACATGTATACTTGGTTGTTACATGCCAGTTACCAGGAATTACTCTGAGGTTATAGGATAATTGCCAGGGTTGTCAAACATGCGGCCCCCCCAGATGTTGCTGATTCCCTGGCTATCTGTTTCATTGAAAGAATCATGGGAGTTGTAGTTCAGCAACATCTGGGGGGCCGCATGTTTGACAACCCTCTAGTCAATTCAATACCTCCCAAGTGTTCCTATTTAAGGATGACAGTCCTGATTTAGGACCCAAATTAAATTCCTGATTACTAAATATACCATAAAAAGGTGCTTATCAAATGAACCTGAAATTGAAACTGGAATAGTTAAAGTGTAGACCAAATGGCTATGTTAACTATTATTTCCCACTCTATTATAGTCATAGCTTATATTGGCTATTTAAGTCTAAAATGCATAATTTGTTTCCAGTCCACGATATTTCACTGTTTAATGAATAAGCACTGTGTAGCAGTAAGAAGTTGTCATGCTACTCAGTCCTAACGTTTCCAGTTACAAGGAATTATTTTTTTAAGGTGTATCAATGAGTGGTTAATACGTGACTATATCATTTTTATGATGTAATAGCAAAGGCTCCAGACAGAATCATTTTTTGCTTCTTGCTACCAAATGTAAAAGCAAGGTGATTTTTCAGGTGTATTTCTCTTCTGCCAATTAATTCTTTAATAGCATTTTGTTTAAAAAGATAAAGAAGGCACCAGGCAGAACAGAAGTCATGATTAGCTATTGCCACATTTTGCACACAAAACATTTTCTCAATGTCTGATGCTTGTCTTTTTTTAGATTTTAACATAATGGAAAATTGAGGTCAAATACAAAAATTGAAGGCTTCTCTCACCATGTAGACCACCTGGAGTTAGAGTGTATGTTACATACATATATACATATACACATATACATACATATACATACATATACATATACATACATATAGATTTCTATTAACCTATACAAAATTAATCAAATTACTGTACATCCACAAACATGAAAATGTATGAAATGTACATGCACACCGCCTAGTCTAAATGACATGATTTTTTTAAAGGATCAGTATAGGGTCAGGAACACAAACATGTATTCCTGACCCTATAGTGTTAACACCACCATCTAGCCCCCCTGGGCCCGTCATGCCTCCATAAATATAGTAAAAATCTTACTGTATTCAAGCCTGAAGCTGTAAATCTGCATGCTGTTAGACTCAGAAAAACAAGCAGTCTGTTGACATGTGGTAGCCTGATCCAATCACAATGCTTCCCCATAGGATTTGCTGAGACTGACAAAGAGGCAGATCAGGGGAAGAGCCAGCATGATTCAAACACAGCCCTGGCCAATCAGCATCTCCTCATAGAGATGAATTGAATCAATGAATCTCTATGAGGAAAGTTCAGTGTCTGCATGCAGAGGGAGGAGATAATGAATCACAGGATGCTGTGCACAGTGCTGCACTGTGCTCTGCTGACAGCAGATCTGAGTGGATGGAGGCATATTATGGCTCCATCAACTCCGAAGTCCCTCTGGTTCACTCTGAGTGACTGCAACTGGAGGTTTTCCTAGCTTTCAATGCAAACACTGTATTTTCTCAGAAAATACAGTGTTTACATGAGAAAGGCTGCAGGGAGCTATAGTTCTCACCTGAACAACCTCATTAAGCTGAAGTTGTTCAGGTGACTATAGTGTCCCTTTAAATGAAGGTTGACTTTGCTTTACAGGATGAGAGGCTTCTAGTTTTGTATTTGACCCGATGTATTCCATTGGAGGGATTGCCTTTTCTGAGGGGGGCACAATACTACATGAGTGCATAGTATATTATCTGTACAGGGCTTTACCCAAACGTGATTGCCAGGGAAATCACATCATTGGCATTATAAATACAGGAAATACAACTTTGTTTCTTTCTTTACTTTTTTTTTTTTTTACATTTGTAATTCCGACACAAATTTTGCACTATTCCCAGTTTGGTGACTAAAAACGCATATGGATTTACTGCCTAAACTCCAAATCACAGCAAATTGAAATCCAGATGGAAAATTAAGGCTAAGTGACAAGTTGTGATTATTGCCGACTTGCCTAAATTTTGTATTTTCTTTCGCTACATTTCATAGTTTACAGTCGGCCAGTGTAATTTACCCCCCATCAAACCATATATTTTTGAAAAGTAGACACCCTAGGGTCTTTTAAATGGTGGTATTTTAACACTTTCCATGCACCAATTCTACTACCAGTCTTTGTCAAACTTTTGAGTAGTCATTCTTTTCTGTTATTTTTCACACACATTCTACTCTACACATGAAAAAAATAGTTGCGGCGCACTTAGACTACAAAAAAATACACAAAGAAGGCTTCTAAATTGCCTATCTAAGAATAAATATGGGGATTTAGTTCCACCATGTGGCCATATGGTGTTAAGCCCACCTCTGCTTTCAAAGTACCCCATGTATGAAGTTTGGTCACTGCGGCAGCACCTTTCATGCAAAATGCAGGTCTTGGATGTGCCCCCAATCCTTTCTCTGTACACATTCTACTTTAGGCATGGATTCTCAGCTCCTGTTAGGTGTTACTGCCACATAACACCCCAATATGTGTTCAGCAACATCTCCTGAGTACAGTGATACCCCCCATGTACAGGTGTGTTGGGTTCGCTGAGGGCTAAAAGACCTTATTTGGAGGGTGCGCATTCCAGTTTTCCAACTTGGAATTTTCACAGCTGGCCATCATGCACCTATATCCTCTGTTGGCACGCGGCCATAGGTTGCCGGGAGAGGGGGCCACTGGCATGCAGGCGCCTACTCTGTTTCCGGGTCGGGAGGCAGGGGGAGGGCTCTAGGAAGCAGCTCTCCTATCCTCCTGCGAGCAAGCTGTGTGGAGCGTTGCTGCGCGTTACCATGGCAACGCTCCACAAAGCATCGTGCGTGAGGATAGGAGAGCTGCTTCCTACAATACTTACCACCACCGGATCACCAGGGATGGCTGTGTCCCCCCTCCTTCACCAAAGGTAAGAGGAAGGGAGGGGGGATACAGAATTAATATAACTTTTTTTTTTTTTATGTATCTTTACCCCTACCCCACACAGCACAGCACCCCTACTCCCCCCACACAGCACCCGTACCCCCCCAAGCACAGCACCCCTAACCCCTACCCCCAAACAGCACATCACCCCTACCCCGCACACACAGCACCCCTACCCACCACACACCGCACCCCCACACACAGTACCCCCTGTGTGTATGTATTCAGCAATGTGTGTGTGTGTGTATGTATTCAGCAGTGTGTGTGTATTCAGCAGTCTGTGTGTGTGTGTATTTAGCAGTCTGTGCGTGTATGTACTCAGCAGTGTGTGTGTGTGTGTGCTCAGCAGTGT